AAAAAATTCTCTGTAAAGTTTTGATCAGAGAATTGAAGTAGGCAATCTTTAAAAATATTTCACTTTTAAATTCCATTATTCTTCTCAAAAACTTTATGCTGAGAGGAAAGAGTCACACAAAAAAGACAATATAAACTATATGATTCCGTCTACATGAAATGTAAGAAGAGCAAAACGAGTCTATAATGACAGCAGATCAGTGGTCGCCTGGTTTCGGGGAGGGGGAAATTCAATGCAAAGGGGCGTAAGGAAAGTCCCACATTTGTAAACACTCATTTAACTGGACACTTAAAATGGATACATCGAATTGTACGTAAGTTATTCCTCAATAAAGCTGATAAAAACAACTTCTATAATTCTGCTTTAACAAGTTGGAGAATTAAGAATATCATGGACAGGAAGTACTTTCAACTTTTTAGGGAAAACTCTAGTATTTTTTAAATATAAATAACCAGCTATAACAAGAGCCCAGAGTCACCACAGTGCTTTAGCAATGGTGCAATACTGAAGGTGGCAGTAACACTCCAAAGGGCTAAATACCCATAAAGAGAATATTCATATAGGGAAAACGAATTATTCAAGACGCAAAGATTTCCAAAAATTACCTCAAAGAGCAGAGCCTGGGCTTTCTCTTCTGGCAGTAAGCGCAGTCCCGCTGTTGCCTTCAGGACCACCGGGGTCCTCTTCCAGTGACTTCGGGGGATGGAGTCTTTGGCCACCTCTAAGAGTTCTTGAACAGACTCCGCACCCTTCAAAAGAGATGACCCACGTGTCCAGTGGACAGTCCATTCAGTGGAGCTTGTCTACCCCTCAACATGCCCTCTGTTCCAACCCTCCTCTGCTCTGAAGAGGAGAGACAGAGAAGTGGATTCTTTGAAGAAGGAGAAGCCATTTCATTTTAAGTAATAATAAAAATGATTCTTTTGTAGTCTGGTCACTTTAATTGTTATTTTGTGTCTCATACAAAAACTAGCTTCAGGCCAGAAAGTTGGTGTAGTGAAGGGAACGAGGTTTGGAGTTGGAAGACTTGGTCGCTAGTCCTGTGGGCTAACATAGATCACATGGCCTTCCTGGGGCCTGGCTTCCTCAGCTGGGAGATGGAGGTATGCCTCGTACCATTACACAAGACTGCTGTGTGCACACGATGAGGCGGACCCTACAGAGCTGCCACCCAGATGCTAGCTGCAGCTGTTATTACGCTACACCTTTTATGATCTCCGTAAGGACAAAACACGTCAAGTTCATTTTTGCATAACCAGCACGTACATGCGTGGTACACAGTAGATGCTCAAATTATGATAAATTAAAAATTATTATTTTAAATCCATTGTTTCTCTTGAGTAAACATCTGTTCTGACAATACACTACCTCTTAATCATTATAATTATTAGCAACCACAACACAATTTTATTCTCCAAATGTCAAGTCAGTTTCTAATAATGTAGTTATGTTCAACAGCTCCTAATTTTCTAGCACATTTGTCATTTGTCAATGGTGAGCTGAGAAAACAAACATCCTCTCGATTTTTCAAGTTCAAGCCATTAAAAAATTTTTTTTCTTTTTTCTTCTTTTTTTGGGGGGGTAATTTGATTGATTGATTGATTTTAATGGAGGTGGTGGGGATTGAACCCAGGACCTCATGCATGCTAAGCATGCACTCTACCCATGAGCTATATCCTTCTCTCCAAGTTCAAGTCATTTTTACCATCAGGTTTTCCTTTGGTTAATGATTACACTTGTGACACTGAACAATATCTTCATGCCTGCTACCAAAGTTCAATATTCCACCCTATTCTATTTGATTTTGGTGTGGCCTGTGACACTCTGGGTGCTGCAGGTTGTGAGAGCTCAAATGTGAAATACAGTCACGACAGAACTGTACATTTGTCTTCTATTACTGAAGATTTCCGTTATCATGGATTCTTGCCTAATTGCTAGAATATGGTCCTGCCCTGTGTCAGGGCACTCTGAAATGGAGATTTATTGGGTTTACATTTTCTCAACTGCCATGTGTATACCTCCTGCTTTATAGAGAACTTCATATCCATCTTCTGCATCTACATTAATTGATGCTGTTGATAGCTTCAGCTCAAAATCTTTAACAGTAAATACAAAGTGGGTAATCTCTTTAAAGATGGTGTTATCCCTGCATGGCCACCATCTACTTTCACACCTCCTTCCACCCAAGCCCTGGTCAGCCCAGGGTGTACAATTACTGTGATTCAGGAGATTAGATGAGGACAGAAAACTGACCTCATACACAACCTCAGTATCAGTAGTGAACAGCATGAGATATTTAACAGCAGGGGTGTGATAGAAGTAGGCATTCGTGAATCTAAGCATCTAATTGTAAATAACTCACCTGCTTAGGTTGATCTACAAAAGCAGAAAGTCCTGGCTTCACAGAATCAAAAATTTCTCCTTCCAGAATTGGAAGCTGTCCTACTTTGCCCATGGAACAAAACAGAAAGAGATGGCTGAGTACCAAAAGTTAGGCTGTTTCGGATACTGGGCTCTGTATGATATGACTATACTAGATTAACCTGCTGTTTCCTCAAGCTATTCCAAGTTATTCCACCTGTGAGGAGTGGCTTGTGGGAGTACTGGGTAGGGAGATAGAGGATGAAAAGTAATCACTGATGGTCCTTCTGCCATTTCTCTGCTGGACACCTAGCTTCTACTCCTTTCCCTAGACTTGTGTGTAACCTGAGGATAGAACACTGAAAATTCAGAAAAAGTTAATCTTTAGGATCACCTCACTCCTTCTCCAAGGATGGTAGTGATCTTTCTTTCAAGACCACTCTCAATATTTTGGACCTTGGAGTATTAACCACCTTTACAGAAAAGGAAAGATAAATTACAGCTATACTTCTTGGACACATGAGTTTCAGACTATAGGCAGTCCAGATCTCTCTTAATTTCACAGTGAATTAAATCATCTGTGTTCAGTTATAGTCCAAAGTGTTCTCTGAAGAAAGACATTCAGTAGCCATAAGACTCTATAATCGACATCACACACTCTCAGCACATTTCTGGAAGGAGATGCTAAAGTGTGGATTTATAGGGTCTGGTAAGGGTACCACTTGCACTTACCTGGTATCTTCTGCACAAATGTGTAAACATGAATTCGAGTTCCAGTGCTCCCTGCATCAAACATAATTCCATACAAGGTGCTGGCACTGACATTGACAGGACACATGGAAGACAGGAAGACACCCTCAAACCAAGTCTGCTGGTCTCTGTGGAAGACAGTGCTGCAAACACAGGATGCCACCAGCACGAAGAAGGCTGCCCCCCAGGAAGTGGCCATTCTCTTCCCAAGATGTGGTGAGTGTAGGCTTTTGTTACAGAAGCAGTGCTGTGCATACACCTGCAGTGGCTTATAGGACAGAGGTACACAAGGTTAGACCAACTGGCTTTTTTGTTTACACCTGTAAAAGAAGAAACCCATTACAGAAATCCCACCCTCTTCCCCAAGGTGCTCCTTCTCTATTCCTAATAACCAGCACAACAAGCTGGACCAGGGAGGCATATGCTCTTAGCACCTTTTCTGAAGGATATCTGGTTGCAAAAGGAAACTTGGATTGAAAATGTATTTTCCCATACTCTGCTTTTAACTGTAGGGTGGATCTCACTTATTCAAAGGCTCTCTCTGCTACCTTGCTCCCAATGTTGAGCCTAATTTTCTTCTTATTTTTACAATTGTCTTTAGATCATATACTGACACTCCTTCTCTTTTTTCTTTCTGATTAATAGGTAAGAAGCTTCAATTCCTGAATTAAAGTATAGTTAAAAAAAGTTATAAAGTCCCTAACATGGGGTGTTCACAGACTATAAAAATCAGGCCACTGGACTGCCACCTGTGACCAACAATATCGCCAGTGGCTTGCACATTCAATGACATAATTCAAAAACACTTAAACAAACCATTATGGTTTCTAAAACATCCTTCACAGGTTTCAGGCCATGCTGTCTCCATAAGAACTTAGAGCAGATGGGGAAATTAAGACATAAAGCCTCAATGACTTGCTGAAAGTCATCAAGCAGGTCAGCGGAGAGTTATGGCAAGTTACTGCTTGTATTTCTTAAAGCGTCCCCAGCAAAGACAAAAACCTTGTAAGTGCTTAGCATTATTTGCTTTGGATTTATATATTACGGGAGGTTGGAGACAAATGATGCAGGATGCCTAGAGTAAGGTTACGTGGAAAAATGTCTCCTGGATAGGCTGTATTTTCTCCTGGTATTAATGAAGAATGCCACGTCTGTTCTCTAACATTTAATTGATCTTTTGCACTTTGGTCAAAACAGTTTTGGGTGTTCTGACCCAGCTTTCACCTCTGGACTTCAGTGTAAGTCACAGTTACTTGTTAAACAAGATCTAACTCTAAAGTCCCCACTTCCCAGTCTCCTTATCTCTAATAGAATACTTGGTGTATTTGGAGTATAGAATGAGAATCCTTAATCATTCTCAAGTTGATCTCCGGGGTTCCTTTGATCAGAATGTCTCCCTCCCTCATATTACATAAAATAAAGCAAATTACAGTTAATTGCATTTGTAATGTAAGACTATTTAAAATAACAAGTTGTTCCGAGGTAGTACGAAGGCAGAGTTAGAATTATCTGTCTGAACACTATTCAAGGCTGAACTTCTACCCTGTAGTTAAGAACGAGAGCTACTGGCTAGGAAATGAAAACTTAGAACCTCAAACAAAGGAAAGTCATCCCAGAAAATCAACCACAGCAACAGGGCAGCTCCCTGGCCAGATTCATACTCACATCTTAAATCACTCCTTTTGGCTGATTCTTTTGCAGCAACCAGGTTGGTCATGTAGATTAACCTAAATAATTGAAAACAAAAACCACCTTTTCAGATTCTGAGTATTAACAAATCATTGCCTTCTCCAGAGCTCAAGCCGTACTCCACACTCAGTCCCTTCTCTCCCTGAGGAAGGGTATTATGGCCCCCCAGTCACCGGCCTGCTGCCATTGCAGTGACTGATTCCACAGCAGCCTCTTCAGTGCTCACTCATATTTTCTCTATTATTGTGGTTTCCGAAAAAACCTCTCCAGCTTCTACTTCCTTTAAGCAAATATTTGTTTTTCTTCCAAAAGAAATTTCAAGGGAAAAAAAAAGTGTACTAGGTATCTGTTTTCATGAGGTGAAAACTGCAGAGTCATACCAGGTGTTCCATGTAAAACTAAACAGTAGATTTTAGAGAAAGCAAAGGAAGAACACAGGAAACGCCCCTTCTGCTCTCAACCTCTACCTCCTAATCCCACTTTCAACCTCATTTTTCTTCAAGATTAAGTATTTTAAGAATGTATTAGAAATGCTACAACTTAGAGCATAGAGAATGGCACCCTATTTCACGACACCAGCCTACACTGCTTAGTCTTTGCTCAAATATCACCTTCTCAGTGAGACCTTCCTTGTCTACTATATTTAAAATCGAAACCCACCTGGTCACATACACGTCTTCTATCTTCCTTCCCTGTTTTTTTTTTTCACAGCACTTTGCACCTTCTAGTACACTATTTAATTTACTACTTTTGTTTTTTTTTCATATTCCCTGTTCCAACTCCCCTCCCTCTTGTGAGCTATACATGCATGAGCAGGTATTTTTCTGTTTTGTTCACTGATGTGTTCCTGGCATACTGCGGGTGTTTTTGAGTATGTTAAATCCTTCTGGAGGGATGAACAGTGATCTAGTGACTCAGGGATTGGATCTTACCTATTTAATAAGAATATAAAGTTGACTTCTTTTCAGAAGGAAGTTAATTACCTACCCATTGAAGTGAAGTTTTACACTGAAATCCGGTATGACTCTGCAGTTTTTACTTCATGAAGAACATGATTCCAAACTTCCAAGGAAGCACTGTTTCTCCAAATGTGTCAATTATATAAAAAGCTCTCTATGCTATTCAAAATAACATACATAGTTTTACTTTCCACAGACTGGAGAGTATACGTATCAGTATGTTAAAATCCACTCCCTTCAGAATTGGTCTCCTCAGTATCTCTCATTCACTACCTCCTTATTCACCCTCAACAAAGCCCCCTCTATAATTCTTTAGAGACTTTGGTGCCAGCTAGTGTTTGTCACTATGCCTGTCTCCTTCCAAGGTCTTTTCAGTGTATCTTTGTCTCCGCAGTAAACACTAATCCTCCCCACTTAGCCGTCCCAGAACTGCACACTCTGGATTCCCTCCCTCTTTGTCATCCAGAGCCTGGGAGGCCACAATCCCACAGGACCCGGGCCCCACCTGGGTGCTCACCTGCTTGTGTCTGCCCGGTCCCTGTGAAAGCTTGCTTTCACTATTGGTGTCTTTTGCTCTTTGCTCCTGTTTCAACCCTTCTGAATCAAACTGGCTTCATGAACCACACTCACCTTTGTGCTAGTTTGCAACTTATTGCGTAGCATTTTGCTAACTCACTCCCTTCTTTATCCTTCACTCCTCCCTTACCCACCTTTTTTCTAAGTACACATGATTATCTGGTTCATCTACTTACATGTTAGTTAACTAAGTGTCAGCTAGTAGAATTATTGCTTATTGGGCTGAAGTTGCTCAGGAACTGAATTCTGTGTTGTTTTTACCCAGGAGATTATAGTGAACAGCACTCCTTGATAGCTTCTTCCATCCTTGAGATGAATGCAGAAAGCTGGCATTGAATTGTCTAGTAAGCACTACTGAGTGGCGAATATATACCAGACATTATGCTGGCTCCTACATACAAAAGAAAAATCAGATATAGTCCCAGCTATTGGGGAGATTTCAGCTTACTAGAAGAAACAAACAAATAAATCAACAGCTATAGCGTACTGTGGCAAGTTCTCCGACAGAGCTATGCACAGGGTGTGACAGGAATGGACGTTAAGAGTACATAACTCATCTTAGAAGGGGAGGGCAGGAGGTGGGAAGAGACTGAGAGGCTTTCCAAGGGATGAGAGGCATAAGCGGGTCCTGAATCAGAGGCAGAAATTGCCCAGGGGAAGTAACAGAAGAATTCTGAGGACTTCAAATATTACAAGTTCAGTATGGGTGGGATACAGAGATGTACCAGAATAGAGGCAGGTGTGGGAAAGAATGGTTCTGGAGGCATCAAATCAGATTTCAAAATGTATGGACTTGCTTTCCTTATACAGTTCCATGGTGACACCTGACTGTTACTCATATCTATTCCCCCCAAAGCAAACATTAACATTGATTGACTTGAATAAAATGACAGTATTTTCCTACAGCGTAAAATAATGGAATGGGAGAGGTGCCTAGACAGTTCTACCAGAAAGTCTGAAAACAGTGAAATGTAAAAGCTCCCGCTGTCGGTTCTTCTGAGTTCCATGGCAAAGCTGGCTTTAACAAAGTTAAAAATTAAACACAACTCAAGTTTAAAATGTAACTAGAATGAAAATTTTAAAGAACAAGCTGAACCATGGGAATAGATTAGTCAAATCACCTACAACATAAGTTAGTCAAGCAAAGTAAAACTAAGGTAGGTCCAATAAGGTAAGTCTGAGGCAGATTTCAGCATAGTGAGCAACACCTTATTTGAGGATGTAACTTAAGACCTACATATCCAATACTGAGGGCCAGAGCCCCGGAACACCTTGCTATTTGAAGAGCATCTAAGGTGAAGGTACAAGATATCTTTTGTATTCCCAAAGCTAAGTACTGAGCCTGGAACATGTCAAACATCAGTAAACGTGTCCTGAATAGACTTGGTGCAGCTGGGCTAAGGGTATCTACAGACAGGAGCACTGGGCAGGGAGTACCTGTTTTCCTAGTGTCTTACTATGGCCAGGTATCACATCCCCAATTCTCCACTGCCCCTCCAAACCAGCCCAGAGGAGTGCTATTCTAGGAAGTCTACTTAATCACATCATTCATTTATCCCATTCTAGAAATTATCAGTTGTCTAACGCTACTCATAAATGCAGCATGAAAAGATGAATCATCTTAGACCTGCCCTTTAAGAGACTGCAGGAAACAGGAAAAAGACACATGTCCATTTAATTATCTCTGTAAAGTTAAAACGTGACAAGTAGCACAGTTCTATGCTCTGAGAGTAAAAGCAAGGAGAGATTACGTCCAGCTGGATGATCAGAGAAGGCTTTGTGAAAGGTGGCATCTGAGGAGGGTAGTAAGGAAGAGAATTAAAGAGGAGTGCTTTCCAGGAAAAAGAAATAATATGAACCAAGATATGGGCATAGAAAAGGGATGGGGGACCTTGGGGAATAGTGAACGGATCAGTTTAACTAACTGTAGTAGGAAATAAAGTTGGAAAGCAAACCTGAGATCAGATAGCAGAACACACCAAATACTAAGGAATTTAGACTTCACTTTGCAGGCAATGGGAAGCTATTCAGAAATCTGAGTAAGAGAGTGTCAAAAATATGAATCTAGCAGTTACATGTAAGAAGGATTGGGGTGGGGCACCTTGGTAGGCTCCACCCACTTGTCTAATTCTACAAATGTTTACTGATGCCTACTAAGAACTAGCTGCCTGAGAATTAAAGGTGAATTAACAGATTTTTTAAATTCAAGATGCTCAGAGTCTGGCAGAGGTGACAGATACACATACAAATAATCACATCTTTTAAGTTAATCATAAAACTGCTAAAGGAGCCCAAAGCACAGATGATTAGCCCTATCTAGAGGATTAAGAAAGGCATGAGATGACATTTGAACTGATCTGAAAATGAATAGAAGTAACTACATAAATAACAGAGACACATAAACAAAGACCAGAGGGACCATAAAAAGATGAAGACAGGCAGTAGGGAATTATGGATAGTTTGATTTCATTTTTAAATTTCTTCAAAATGAAAACAAAAAGGAGAAGATTAGAGTGAAAGAGGGTATAGGAAGGTTAGCATCTAATGCAGAGGAAAGACTGTGGCCATAGGAACATAAATCTGAGCTAATAATAATATCAGCTAATATTTATTGAGACCTTAATAAACAAGTGTGTGAAGTATTTTACATGAATTCTCATTTTATCTCACAATACCACTCTGTGAGGTAGGCTCTATTATTAATATCCCCATTCTAGAAATAAGAAAACAGGCCTAAGTAATTTAAGAGCACACAGTAGTTAAGTGAAGAAAGTCAGAAATCAAACCCAGATGGTCTAAGTCCAGAGTCCACAGTTTTTACTGCTAGGTCACAGGAAGAGTCACCAGTATGGACTAGGGAAGGTTGAATACTGGGGTGGGGAGGAGAGTGTAGAGACGAGAGGGATGGTTAGAGATGACGCTGGAAAATTAGACTGGCATCAGGATGGGAAAGTCTTATAGTGGTTTGAGCTCCTTTCTGTGCATGACCAAGAGGTTTTGATGTTTCCTGCCGGTCTACCTTTACTGCATTTCCAGAATCTGACCATTTCCATCACTACCACCTTGGCTTGAGCCACCACCATCTCTCATGTGATTTACTCTAATATTGTCCTAACAGATCTCTGCTTTTACCCTCACTCCTCTAGATTCTGTTTTTAACAAGCAACTAACATCATCCTTTTAAAACCTTCATTAGAGTAAGTCGCTCCTCTGCAAATCCAGCATTGGTTTCTCATTTCCCTCGGGGTAGAAAGTCCCAACAATAGCCGTCATGGATCCACCTGTTCTGCCTCCCACCCCATTACCTCTCTAAAAGTTTTCACCTCTCTCGCTCCACCCACATCGACGTTTGTGCTGAAATGTCACATGTGTTCCTGCCTTAGGCTTTTGCTCTAGCTGTCCCCAATGTCTGGTACAATCTCTTCCCATACATCCATTTGATCAATTCCTGTAACTCCTTCAAATCATTGTTCAAATGACACTTCCTTATTGAGGCCTCTCTTTAATACCATAACCTCCCTCCTCATGTGTCCCCTATCTGTCTGCTTTCTCAATACCCCCTTTTTTGATCTACTTTTTTTCTCCGTACTACTTACCAATTCTAATATTCTAGACAGCTTATTTACTATACTTATTATCTGTGTTTCTCTGATAGAATATAAACTCCTTGAGAGCAGAAATCTTGTTTTGATGCCAAAGCACTTAGAAGACTGTCCAAGAAGATGCTCAATACAAAGTGACAATAGGAATAAACTGCAAAGTGACATAACAAGGGAGAATACTTTAATAAGTAAACAAAATGTTAAGAGAGAATGTAATTAATTAACATCTAATCTAGTCATACTAATTTGTTTTAGGAGAAACTGTAATTTTATTTTTCTGAATCTACTGGTTCTATAGCTAAACTGAATTTCTTTAACCAAACACATTCAAATTGTTAAAACTATGATAAACTTTCCCAAAAAAAAACCAAAACCTAAAGGGTACTAAACATTGTTTACATTGTCCAAATTCTCTTCTGTATATCAAGCCAATAAATATTATAATATGCTGTACATTAGTTATCTATTGCTACACAACAAATAACCCCAAAACTTAGTTGCTTAAGAGGACAATAAATACTATCTCATAGTTTCTATAGTTCAGGAAACTGGGAGTGACTTAATTGGACAGTTCTGGCTCAGGGTCTCTCATGATACTGTAGGCCAGGGCTGCAGTCATCTGAAGGCTTGACTGAGGCTGAGGCTCTACCTCCAAGATCCCTCACTCAATGGTTGGCAAGCTGATCTTGGCTGTTGGAAAAAAGCCTCAGTTGTTTCCCACGTGTGCTCTCCATAGGGCTTTGAATGCCTTCACAACATGGTGGCTGGCTTCCTCCAGAGTGCAATTCCAGAGAGCAAGGCAGAAGCAGCAATGCTTTGTGTGACTTAGCTCTGCAGATCATAACTTTCCCCATATTTCACTGGTCGTACTGACTAACTCTGATGCAATGTGCAAGGGGACTAAATATTAGGAGGTATAAATATTAGGAGGTGAGGCTCACTGAGGGCCATCTTGGAGGCTGGTTGCTGCAAGTTATAACCAGTGTTTGTATAATATTTTGTGTTCAGCTTTCCCCTCCAGCTTATACATATTTCTATTAACACAACTTATATATTCCTTGTTTTAGAAACTATGTT